CGGCCACGGCCACTGCGACTGCGACTACTGCTGCTGAGCTGCTCCTGCTCTTTACTCGACGACGACTACTACTACTCCAGCACTCAGCTAATGTAGCTGATATCATCAAAAATCATGATCAGTCTTCTTGTTGCTTGGAGAGCCACCAGAGCAGGACAACATCGAGAAGTGGAAGGCTCTTTTCGACTCTGACAACCCTGCGCCTTGGGCTTTGATAATTACTGATTATGATTATGCTAATGTTAATATTGTTGCTAAGGGTAATGGTAATGACAATGATAAAATAGTAGTGGTTTTAGTAGTAGAAGTAGCAGGCTACCGGCCCGGGCGAGGTTAGTATTGTCTTGTGAAAATGTACGTTGCAAGCACAGTGCTTCTGTAGGGGTTTAAGCTACGCAAAGATGTTCTCGAACGTTTGCACCAAGGCAGGAAGGAAGGAAGGAAGGAAGTAGTATTCGTAGTATGAGTGGGTAGTCTTATTTTTTTGTAGTATTGGTAGTACTTGTCATATTGGATAGTCCATTTGGGATGAAGGCATGGTCCAGTTTTTGCTTTTCGTTTCGTCCAGCTTCAGCCGGGAAACAGCACAGCATTGCTAGTCACACCGTCGTGGCAGATCTTGATGCCGTTGCGATGAGATGCTCCGGAATATGGTAACATTAACTGCAACTGCTTTTCCGGGATGAAATTAACATACCCCGTTAGGAAACTGAATTAGTGTGTCAGCAGTCCGGCATTTTGCTGTTCCACTACTGTCCAACAGTTGTGGTCAGGTCTGTGTGCTGAAGTTGCCTTGAGACTGTCGTAGCTGGTGTGCGCAAGGTTTGCCGACGGTATTGAAGCAGGTTTCGAATCGCCAGAGATGTCGCCGAAACAGTGCGATGCGGAAGGAAACGTATACCCCTAGGATACTTGTACCCCTAGGCAGTGCAGCTGAGGTGGCTCACAACTGGCCTGGCAAGGCCAGAGGGATGATCTCGGGTTGCGATGTCCCGATGGGGGGTTTGCTTGCAATTATCATGCCACATCCTGCCGCATAGACCCATCTTCTCCAGATCAGTACGAGAGCGCCGGGATTTGACTAGTCCAATTTGCCAGGAGCAGATGTCGGCACTGCAGCGGGCTTTGGTATTGCTGGCCGTGCCCTGGCCAAGAGATAACAACATGGGGGTGTCCGAAAATAGGGGACCCTAAGATAGCACCCTAAATAATAGGATCCTTATCACAAGGGCCCCAAAATAAGGTACCCTAATTTTCGGAAGGTCCCACATGGGTCCCTCGAAGTGCCAGCAGAGTGAACAGGAGGACCTGCTCTGATCTCCCGGGGCCAAGGTACGCACAGACTGTACCATCGCGGGCCTTCAAGAGGTGGCTTGATAGCCCGTCTGCCCCGGAATCTGACCCCGGGACTTCTCCCCACCTTAGTCGGGAGGTCATTTCCACCAACCTGGGCAAGAACTTTCTGGAACCACCTGGCTTCAACCTGGAGAAGTCTCTTGGTCTCAGAAAGGGAGGGGGGGTTTTTGGTTTTTCGGTTTCCTGAGATTCACCCGTGTTGGTTACATGTGCAGCCAGGTCGTTCCATGGCAGCAATGCGTGCAAGCCGCTCATCTTCGTGTTGTCGTCGGGAGCCGATCCAATGGCCTTTGCGGCCTGTTTTCTCTACAGTTAGGAGCGTTTTGCTTCTTGCGACCTTGTCTTCAAAGGTTTTGTGTCACCTCGCAAGCCAGGTCGAAGTCATTCGTCTGGCGCAGAAGGTGGGCATGAACGAGCGGTATACGACCGCGGGGGCCCCAGGATTGGATGGTAAACATGACAAGCTGCAGATCTCTGTTTAATATAGTACCAGTCTATTTAAGAAAATACCATGTGATTACCGCTCTGTGTACAGGTAGTATACTACTATCCTATGCCATGTTATGCTATGCCATGCTTCAGCATGCTGTACTATGCTCTATTCTACGCCATTCTATCATATTATATTGTCTATTCTGTTCTGTTCTGTCCTGTTCTGTTCTGTTCTATTCGAGTCGAGTCGAGTCTTTTCTATTATATATATATATATTTCGATCTCTATTCTAGTCCATTCAATTTTGCTCTGTTTGATTCCTATTCTATTCGGTTCGGTATTGTTCAATTCAGTTCTAGTAATATGTTTTGTTATATTACATGGTTTTATTATCGTATTCTATTGAAATTTCTATTGTTATTGTTATTATATTCTGTTATTACTATTCTTGTTATTATACTATACTGCTCTACGATGCTACGCGGCGCGCATCTGAGGTGTCCTTGGGACAGGGCCAGGGCCCGAAGGCGGCGACCTGAGGGTCTTTCCTGCTACGAAATTCGGGGCGGCCAAGGATGGTTTTGGGCTTTTCTTTTTTTGGGCCGGGGGGGGGGGGTTAAGGGGGTTAAGGGTTTTCGGGTTTT